AATGTTCCCGAAAAATATAACTGTAATAAAACAATAGGTCCTACATACTCCAGCACGTGTAATTAAAAATAATTACAAATAACGAGAAGTAGAATAGAAGTTGAGACCTTTATTTTTGATATATGGTTAATAAAATTTACATAGCGTATAGATGAAAACCTTGGAACATTCTTTAAATAACTGTAATGGGAAGTATTGAATTTGAATATCTTTTATTACACTGCTGATATCGCGTGTAAACCACACCAAATACCTCTAGCGTAATTACGCCTAAGTGAGATAAATTATTTAAGCCCATGTTAGCAGGTAAATTCTATCGCCGAATGAGCGGTATTCTGAAGGATCAAAGGATATATTACTGAAATAGACGATGTATAAAAAAATAGTGAAGATTATGTCGGGATTGTGTCTGGTTTGAGGCACTACCATGGTAATTTAGCTGCTTATTAATGCATTACATTACATAGCGCATTCGAAGTGTCATACCAAGCATTAAAGTTCGCAACCAAATTAATTATTTTTGATAATCAATTATCGGGAGCATTTGGGACGGAAAATACATGAGTTGATAAATTGGGTGCAGATTTATTATAATAAATGATATCTCAATCAGAAGTAAAAAATGTGATATGTGTAAACAGAAAATGCTAATTAATATCAAAAAAACTTCTAATTAAAGTTGGACGAATCATTTCCGTGTTCGAACAAATATTTTAGAGCCTCACAGTTGACCTTATTTATTACTTTCCTCGTTGGATTCCCTCCTGATATTTCCAAAGAGGATCTTGTTGCTCCGACAATGAGTGAGATGCTCGTTAATAAAAAAGCAATTCGAACTACCGACATCGGACAAGTTGGGATTGGAACCATCTTTGGCACCCGACTCTTGAATAGTGATTCTGTGATTTTTATAGAAGGCAGCAATCTGTGAACATCGCGATTTTAAAAGAGACATAAAACGAAAAATACATAGACGCGGTTACAACAACGATCGCAATACCTATTGCGTTGGCGTTAATTAATTTTTCTAGCTTTGAAAAAAATAAGTTATTACTTATTTAGGTGTTTTATTATTGATTAATTATAAACTTAAATAATAAATCGAATTTTTAATTACAACTCAAACTTCGTAAAGATAATTGCTTTTACGGTTGGTGGTAGACGAAGAAGAGAACAAAAGTAGGCAGAAAACGAAGCCATAATTTTAGATTCATAATATTAATAAGAACAGGTAACACATAGAGAAAGATAAAAAATGATGTAAAATTATTCCATCTTCCACCTTCCTGGCATTGAATTTACCCTTAAATTATTGCGATACTTACTGAAATATGAGTACGAGTTTGACTGGAACGACAATGAGAAGGAGGTTTTTCAAACCTCATTTCAGTTACAAAAGAAATGTTAGAAAACATTCTTTTTCGTCACTTTGATATGGGATTTTCGTTTCTCTCAGATTTAAAGCTTGCCTATGTCAACTGAGAACACCAAAAATCTTGTTTAGACAGACAAGAAAACATAATTTTATAACCTATTACAAAGAAACTCATAGCTTTATATTAAAGCTTTGTAAATTCCATTAATCAATGCCTCTTTGCCAGTCGATATCACATTCATAATACGTGTGGAAATAGTGCAGTTGGTTTTAAATTACCTACATCAACATTAAAATTTTATATTTTATTTTATAAAATATCTTCTGATAACGATCACCTTTCGATTGAACTTATCAATACTCCGTTACCATACTTATTAGTATTATTTACCGCCATCATATACTATCAATGAGTTCTGTCGCAACTCGATGATGTTTTGTGCTATCTTACTGTAATTTTGGCAGTGCATATTTGCTAGTTGTTTAGATATGGTTGTCTTTTATTGTATTTGAATTCCTACTATCCTGCAGTTTAGTATTAAATATAGACTTCGATAGCGTAAACCGAAGCAAATTACAATCAATACTAATAAAGCAAGGTATTCCAAAGAAACTCGCCACCTTGGCAATGATGACAAGCAGTACAAGGTAGAAAATCGAAACTAGCCTAGTTTAATCTAGCCCTGCAATATGCAATTAGTTATCTAGAAAACGGAGGCAGCATGTTCAATAAGGCATATCAAGTGATTGGATAGGCAGATGACATACTAATAATAGCCTGCTCTTTTATGTACACCATGGTGGAAAAATTCGTAAGGCTAGAACTCAAAACGAAAATAATTTGCCTAAAAATCAATGAGTAAATACATGAGAATGTCTAAGGATTAAAATAAAAGAGTTCCGTAAAACTAAACTGTCGCTTAGTAGATCTTTGAAGGTGTGGAAAGCATTAGGTATCTGCCAGATGCCTAATGCCCAGATACTATCTGTGCATTTTACTCAGAAATGATAATAGCATACAACATTGCATACAAGAGAGAATTAGAGATGGAAATGCATGTTACTTCGTTCACAAAAAGTTATTCCAATCAAAACTGCCGTCTAAAAAATTAAAACTATTACCCCGACGTCTGCATTTACAACAAAAAATGAGAACAGCCTAAAGATATTTGAAAGAAAAATATTACGAAGAGTTTTTGGCGCAAAATATGAGCACGGAACGTACTTACGATGTACTAATGAAGAATTAAATAACCTTGTTGAAGGAGAAAACATTGTTTAGTTTGCCAAAGCTCCAGGAATAAGATGGATGAGACACATCTTAAGAATGAGGGAAACCAGAAAAGCAAAGAAGGTATTTGCGAGAAGACCAGATATACGGAATCAAATAGGGAACGACCTAGAAAGTGATAGATAGACGGTGTGACTAACGATACTTAATAGAGTGGGGTGGAGACAGATTGTTCAGAAGGCCAAATCTCACCAAGGGAGGTAGCACCACAAGATAAGTAGTAAGCAGATTATCTCGTGTTCATTGACTTTGTGGTTATAAAAGTAGATGCTTCAATACACATAACATTACCATTAACTCACTTATTTTTGTTACATTCTCTTTTTATCTGCATCACCCTTCTCATAAATGCATTACTTATAGAAACTTCAGAGGTAGGTTTCCTCTTTTATTATAATATTATTACTCCTTCAATATTTCGCCTCTTCTTGAAGCACGATTTAATGTAAAAGTTATAACTCTTGGATTACGGATAATGTTTAACTACTTAGAAAATTAATAAGAAATTAAAATGTTTTTAGATCTTCAAGTTTATTGCTTGATTATTATCAGCATTATTATTACTTATTACAAAGAATTATGTAATTTCATCAATAAGGAAACTCTACGATGCGTTACAATGGTTAGGCTTATTCTTCCTAAATGCAAGGTAAAACTGACACTATTCGTGACAACATTGCATACGCTGATTCTATAAACATTTTTTTTTGTTTCTCACAACAAACACACTATGATATTGAGTGTATAAGGTTACAACTCCAAAGTTATTAAATTATTAGTAGTATGTAAATTTTTTTGATTTCTGATCTAGAAATTTTTCGAGCTCTGGAATCTATTAAAATGTAATGCAGTTGGGTGTGATGGCGTTATTGTGAAGATGTTACTTCTGGGTTGCTCTGCAATTATTCAATATTTCTGCCATTTTATCAATTCTTGTTTGGAATTATAATATATGTTATAATTATAAGTACGATATGTACCGTACTTTCCTGTACGGTACATATCGTATCCTACATCAAAATCCAAAAATCCTACTGAAAAAGATCGGTGTTGTACATATTACCTCTAAAATTTTAGAGAAGTTGCTGTGAGGATTTGGGGTCATCTAAATGTTCTCAATTTATTACCACCCAATCAGTCTGGATTTCGCCACGGTTTCAGCTCTTTTTAATAATTAAATAGGCTGAGTAAGAAGAATGCCATTATCCTTTGCCCTAATCAATTTATCTAAGGCTTCTAACACCCTCCATTATTTAATACTGTGTTCAGACACATCTGCTTTCTATTATCAATACAGTTTTCTCAAGAAATATTTCCTACACCGTTCTCAGTTTATTAAATTCTAGGATACAATATCAAGAAGCGGCTTTATTACTTCAGGAGTACTACAAGGATCTATTATAAGATCAATTTATATCTGATTTACATTGTCAATCTTTGTTCTAACCTTAATAGTGTAGAAGTTTACCTAGGTATATTACAATTTCTAATTAACTATGATCTGAATTGTAGTTTTAGACAACATCATTATTTGATAATAAACGTTACAAAATCATCTGAACACAACAAACTACTAAGTTTATTGAATGAAGTTCATAATCTAGAAGTTGTAAAGAACTGATTTGTGATTTTTTTGCAGCGGACCTATTCCATCCGTCAGATTTCGTTTCCAACAGAAACATTTTGCATTCAAAATTAAGTCATCTTTAATTCCAGGGATTCATTTCATCATCCATTAAAGCTGTGAATATAACTCGAATTAAAGAAGTGCAGAACTTCAGTCTTTATTTTATTTCATATAATAATGTAGCTAGAAAAATGAACCGTAATGGCTTCAGAATCCAAGTTGCGTATGTGTTTGGACCGTGAATAACCCAGTGATATATATCAATTGAGTCAATTATTATCAATTATTCTGTATTTAGAGCTATGTATTATATGACACGATTAGCTGCAGAATACCTTGCAATTTAAGTATTGATTCTATTCGGGATCACCGGAAGTCTAGTTCTAATCTTTTATGATGGTATTTTATGCCATTATTTTCAATCAATCTCACCTAAACTGTTTTGTACAAGCGTGGTATACCATTTACACAAACTATTAATCACCACATACATGCTATTATTACTGTATACGTATTATTTTGCATATTACGCCAATACCTGGGACATTTTACTTTTACACAATCGATACACGTTTGGTAAAATATATCATTATACATTAATAATGGGCGGACAATCTAACCAACATAGTAACGAACGAAATGTACTAAATTCAAACCAGTAGCTTCCCCCTGATATTTAATACGTTCGTTAAAATACGGTCAATTATTTATGGCGTTGCGATTCCCAAATTCCCTCTCTCACTATATTTGTGTTCCTCCATCGAGCTAGCTTTAGTTTTGTTCACGAGTTTCATAATCGACTACGCAGTATAATTAATGTGGGTATTAATTTATTATTTACTCACCTGAACCATTAACGAAATCGCCACTATTCCCTGGGATTTATGTTGTGCTTCGGTCATATTGTGGTAAAGTTCTTTATTAAAACCATACAGTTGAATCTGAAATAAATAGATAATTAACAATTTTTTTTAACAAAACTTTTCTTTAATTCTTAATTTCTTAAACTTTAGAAAATTCGTATTTAATTCTTTTTTGAGTTCGTTAGCTTCAGGTAGTAGTTCACGCTTGTAAAGTAGAAGTAAAAGCAATAAAACTCAGGTAAAGTTAATAAAACTTTAACACGAAATCGGCATTTTCAGGAAGCCTGGGAATGCAACGCGAACCGTTCGCTACGTAATAACGTATGCAAGAAGTCGTAAAAAATGGTTACGTTGCACGAGGATGCGTTCGGAATTTTAAAGACCGCAGTGCAGTTTCGTTCTGAGACAGTTTGATGTAGAACGGAAATAACTTCGCATCGGGAATTTTATGGCATCTGAATAATCTTCAAATAGACTTCACTCAATTTTATACCAAAAAAAAGCTCTTTTCTGAATCTCACAAATTTTTGTAATTTAAAAAATGGTTCCGAATAGAAATATTTTGGTTTTCGCATTTATTCATCTGCCCCGGCAATCCAAAAAGTAAACACGAATCTGTCGGATGGAAGGATCTTGAAGGAAGGGAAAGGGAATGGTATTGGCGTCCCGACCATACGAGATCCGTAGGGATCCCTCTCTACTCATATGCCCCGTAAAGCCGACATCTATCTTGCGAAATCATTCGGATACGCTTTTATTGAATTTCTTAGGTTCCGAGGGAGAGCCGCAGATAGACTTCCTACATGTATCCATCTCGCATTATTGCTTCATTCATATCGAATTTTTAACGTTTTATTACTTTTACTAAACTCAAAGATTTAAAAGATCAAAGAAAAGTAAATAAATAAAATAAATTAGTTTTGGTCAAACTGTGTTATGGCAACTTGTATATTAAGTTTAGAGTACAGTTTAAGTACTTTAAAAAGCTTTCTTTAAAAATTGCATCCATTAAATAGTTGTGCGTGAAGGTGCAGTAAATTCTAGGTGGGCTTGTCCTGCTTGATCTGCTGGATCACGAGATATTGTTGTACCATACCAAATATAGCTGTCGTCACGTTGCTTATAGCTTATAGTAAATGTACGATGTGAGTGATGACGACTGTTATGATTGAGATATTATTGACTTAGCTATAGAGACTGGTGTGACCTACGAGTTAACTTTTAAGCAAGTTTTAAAGAAAAGAAAGAGTCAGTAGAATCATAAAAGTAGCCAATTCCAAATGGGCTGCGATTCACCTGGCAGAACTGAAAGTTAGCCATCATACAACTTGAATGTACGGAGAATCAGGGCTGGCATAATACACCCACCCAGCTACTTGGGTGGATTTTCGCCCATTATCTATTACAACCCTGGAAGATATAGGTTGACAATCATACTTTGAAAAAATGCAATTGAGGATCCTATCAATTGAGGAATAAACATGAAGCCTATACCTGATAAAAAGAATGGCATCGGTTACTGCCTTCAGATGCGAGCCCATTAATGCCGGATACTGAGGGTATGGATAAAACACCAGACATCTAGTCCGGACAAGTAACAATCTCTGACAAGGTTAGGAAATCAACATATGTTAGTGCCGATAGTGGGTAGAAAAGAGCAAAGCCTACTCGACTCTACCTTCATCCGAGGCTCCATCAGGGACATACTAGGATGAGAAGGACTACTAACACATCCATCCAAGTCGAGAGGTAAGTAGGTTTTACCTTGCTGCCTTCATTCTAGAACAATGACTTGCCAATACCGAACACATGAGGGGTCTCGATAATTTATCTGGCTCTGGGCATTGATAGGAAGGAGCTGATCCATTCATGAGAAACAATATTAACCTTTTCCTGATTTAAGAATACAGGAACCATGATTACGTAACCACGATACTGAAAATTCATGATGAAAAGGTCTATGCAGATGTCGTCATTTGTTCAATGTATCACCACGGAAATAAATTCGGTCCTCTTCTTATTGCTGTGCGAGATAAGTCGTGTGCGTTGTTAAAACGCATCATAAACATTGCGGGTGTAAAAAGGATTCTGGGAGGAGGTTATATGAAGGAGTCATAAGGACTTAAGCAAAGCAACGTTGGTGTTTCTAATGTACACTCTCTTTCCTGAAAGCTTGGTGGTGAGACAGTTGCTAGAACACACTTTATTGCACAACTAAACATCCCTTACAACCAAAATAACACGTGGCGCTAGCATGGACAAACACTAATATTACGTGTTTTGGTAACAATTTTCAAATCTTGTGCTGCCTGGAATCTTATACACCAAAAGAGGGATGTACTATCACCACCACTAACACCTTCGATCCATTCTCTGTTATATTGGTTTGGTTTTGTATTAAACGCTCTTAATTCATGATCTTTTGGTGTTTTAAATACGAAACAGGCAATTTTTGGTAGAGTTCATATCTTAGTGATGAGATCCTAGATTATGGTATTTTGGACATAGCATAATGAGACAATACTACAATATCTGGAAGCAATAGTATATGGTATAGAGTGGTGGAATAAGTATAACCGGCTGGATCTGATACTTGACTGTGGAATAGTTTCCAGTTAACTTTGTGGAGAGGCAATATGAATCAAGCCAAAAACTGGTTATCCGCCAGACAGTCACCGGCTGTCGTGGTAATTACCAGAAAATATATTGGGCTTATTATTTTTAGTAGTTAAGTTTACTTTTTGTAATAATAGCAGATAAAATATAATATAATGGGAAGAATGTACAAGTTAATTATGTTAACTTTGCGCGTTCGCAAATTCAGATCATTCAGATCAATTGAGACATTCAATTATTGGTATAATATTCTCATTTTATTGGCTAAAATACCAAAATAACATTTTGTGTATCTTCTTGTTCGACTTAAACCATAGGTAAATAGGTTTTTTGTGTCATCCAAGTGAATACTTGCAAAAGATCTTAATAAATTTGTTGATAACGGAAAAGATTCATCGTCAACATAGACGTAGGTTATATCTGTTTGCATTATTTCCTGTAAAGGCGTTGTCTTTAGAATATTCAAACTATCATCATTCAGTTTCAGGATCTGCACTCATCGCAATATTCCCCAAAATAAGGCAGTATTCTGCATCACCAGAAATTGGGAAATTAATTTTATTTTCAAAACCATTTGTGATGGCCTTTTCCATTTACTTTCAATATCAGGCAACTCTACGAAGTCTTTTCCTAATGTATTTGATAATAACGTACTTGTTGACCTATGCGAAGTTTTCTTTAGCCCCCACTTAGATAGGATTTTACATGTATATATCGTCTTTAAGGTAATCTCTGTAAAGACACCACCGTCCTAAACCATTTTGATACTGGCAGCGATCATCGCATGGTTCGAGCACGTATAGAAATAAATACAGAACAACAAAGAATAAAACTCTTAACTAAAACCAAACTCCCAACAATGGAGGTGCACGAACTCAACAAAGAATCATACTAAAATGAGCTAAAGAAAAAACTAGAAACTCTGACTGCACCAAAGAAATAAACGAAACAACATGCAAAATAACTGATGATATAAAAACAGTCACAAAAAAGATCTGCTATAGAACTTGTAATGGAAAAACGAAGGAAAACGCAAAAGTGTACAACAGATGGCATTGTCTAAAAGAAAATTCGAAAGAATCATACCAAAGAGAAGTAATCCTAGAAACTATAGAAAATCACAATAATTGAAAATACTAAGATCAAATTTAGCTAAATAAACGAAACTAAAGGATGAAAATCAGAAAAAGCATACGAATTATAAAAGAAATCCAAACTTTATAAGAAAAGCTACACACTTCTGCCATACCCAATCCGGAAACTGCGCCTAGAAAGGTTCTTAACGTCGATTCGCAGAACTTTCCTGAAATATTGGTGAGGATCCGATAAATTCGGAAATGCTAAAAATAGGAGGTAATACCCTTGAGGAAGCCCAAAAAGTGTTTTTAAACAAATGCCTGCTGGAAGAGAAGATACCCAAAGCATGGAAGGACGCCGAAGTCATATTTATACACAAGAAGGGAAACAACACTAATATTGAAAATTATAGACCTATAAGTTTATTATATCACCTCCGCAAATTACTGACTAGAACTATAACGAATCGTCTTACAGTAAAGCTAGATTCATATCAACCAGTGGAGGATGCCGGATTCCGAAAAGGTTTCAGTACTGTCGACCACTTACAAACTTTTAGAACACTAACAGAAAAAAACACAGAATATAATGTCGACTATTACAAAACCTTTGGTAGCATTGAGTCTTGATCAATTCAGGCAGCACTAGGAAATGCTAGAATAGATTCGCAATATACTGCCAACATCAAAAATATCCATGAACAAGCCACCTTTCACATCAAAATTGATGAAGATACAAAAATAGAGAAAGTTCCTCTTGGTATAGGCGTTCAGCAAGGTAAGACTATTTCGCCCAAATTGTTCACCTTGGCAAATGTATGTAAACAATTGGACTGGGAAAATATGAATTTGAATGTACATAGTGTACGTTTGAATCACTTAAGGTTCGCAAACGATGTGTTACTGGTCAATTCAGACATAGAGGAACTGGAAAATATGTTACAAGATCTAAACAAAGACGCAGGTCTAAAAATGAACCTGCATAAAACCAAAATAATGAGCAACAGGCAAAATGATGTTGCCATTGATAACGTCTGCTTAGAGAATGTAAGCCTGTACATATACTTTGGTCACTATATTAAAATTGGCAAAAAGAACCATCACGGGCAGCATTTGGAAAACTCAGTTTTACACTGAAATACAAAAAAATATCGAGAAGCCTAATACGAAAGATGATATGTAGCTTCATATTGCCAGTGAATTGAAACCAAAGCCTTGATAAGGAAAAGTTCAGCACAACTTGGTGTAACCCAAAGAGTGATGGTACGATACCACGAGGCTTAAGTGGCAACGAGTCATGTGGCAAGAGAAAGCATAAAAAATGGACAGGAAGAATAATATTTTGGAGACCACGAAAAACGAGAAGAACAGGTACACGAAGACCGC